GAAAAAACTACAAGTTTATTCTTTTAAAAGGAGTAGGAATAGTGTATTTTGGAGGCCTTTTGAAGAGTAGAATAGTGTTTATTTTAAGCTTGAAGTCATCTTCTAAAGGGTATGATATTGGGTGAACATGTTCACTCCTTATTTCCATGAAGAAGAGTTAATTCTATTCTTTTTTTTTGAATGGAGTCTCACTCTGTTGCCCAGGCTGGAGTACAGTGGTGCAATCTCAGCTCACTGCAACCTCTGCCTCCCAGGTTCAAGCGATTCTCCTGCCTCAGCGCCTCCCAGGTAGCTGGGATTTACAGGCGTGTGCCACCACACCTGGCTAATTTTGTGTTTTTTTTTTTTTTTAGTAGAGGTGGGTTGGGGTTTCACCATGTTGGTCAGGCTGGTCTCGAACCCCTAACCTCGTGATCCACTGCCTTGTCCTCCCAAAGTGCTGGGATTACAGGTGTGAGCCACCGTGCCCAGCTGTTAATTCTATTCTTACTGCTTACTTCCTTTCATATGTTCTTCTTCTACTATCTTACATCTTATGCTTTTGCTATTGCTTAAGCTAGCCTACGCCCAAGGGTCCTCTTTGTCCACTACTTCCTCTGCTATTCTCCCGCCTCAGTTCCGCTGTGCTCCAAGCTCAGCCTTCCCGAGCAGCAGGTCTCTTTGACAAACCTGCAATTTTGGGGAAAAGCCAGCCCAGGAAAGGCAGGGGGCCCAGACTTATGCTGTGTGGGAAAAGTCCTCTTTGATGGGGGAAGCGGAGGACCGGAAAAGCAGAGAGATCTTTCTGGACGTCCTGGGAGAGAAACCCTTTGGGTGGAGGCTGGAGGTAGGGAGGAATCCCCTCACTATGCCATGAGAAGGGCCCCCAAACCCAAGCGAGACAGAGGGAGGTTTAAGAATGCCGAGACAAATGTCACTTGTGCCTTGTTTTTTCCCTAAAGAAACTAAACAAAGCGGCCGCGTTCGGTGGCCCCGCAGGAAGGCCGGTCATTTCCTGAGGAGATATCAGGCCAGCCCAGGCCCCATTGTTCCCGGTTTCCAGCCATGGCTGCCATTACCTGACCAGCGCCACAGCCGGTCTCCCTGCAGGCGCCGGGAGAAGTGACCAGAGTGGTTTCTGCTTTTCACAGGGCGGGTTTCTCAGCGGTGACTTGTGGGCAGTGCCTTCTGCTGAGTGAACCATGGCCCGAAGGCAGAACTAACTGTGCCTGCAGTCTTCACTCTCAGGATGCAGCCGAGGTGGGCCCGAGGGGCCACGATGTGGCTCGGAGTCCTGCTGACCCTTCTGCTCTGTGAGTGTTTACTCTCTTTCCACATCACTTTAACTCCATGAGCATCGAAGCTTCTGGAATCAACATGTTTCTTCTGTTTCTTGCAGGTTCAAGCCTTGAGGTTCCCCCAGAAGCAAGCAGAACAGAACCCTCCTCATTCTCAAGACATAAAGTTTCAAATTAGCTCTAAAGTGGTAAGATAAGCCAGGCTTCAAAGATAGGCAGCCCACGCCCTTCCCTATGTGCAGAGCACAAAATATTATAGATACACTTGTAGTCTCCAGTGATGGATGCTAGGATATCATTTAGAGAGTAAAAAATTAGCACACAATTTAAACTAGAATCACTGTCTTCATATGTCTAACAGATCAATTATATCATCATTTGCAAATAAAAACAATTGGATAAGTTTTACAATTATTCAAATAATTTTTTATGCTAAAAAAAAAAACTAATGCCATTGCTCATTAAAAAAAAAAAAAAGTCACCATCCATCCCCAAAAAAACAGCAAATAGCACTGGAATACTATCCAGAAAATGTGAGGCCGGGCAACCGGGTGGCTTCACACACTGGTAATCCCCAGCACTTTGAAGGCTGAGGGCGGGCCAACAGAGCGATCAGCCCTGAGGTTTCAGGAGTATCGAGAACCCAGACCCTGGCCAACAATGGTGAAACACCCCATTTTCTACTAAATACAAAAATTAAAACTGGCGGCATGTGTGCGCACCCCGCCCTGTAATCTTCCAGCTACCTTAGGAGGGCTGAAGAACAAAAAAGATAGGAATCCCTCTGAACCCCAGGAGGTGGAGGGTGCAGTGAGCCAAGATTGCAGCCACTCCCACTCCAGTCCTGAGGGTGACAGAGACTCTGTCTCCAATAAAAAAAAAAAAGAAAAAAAAAAAAGAAATGGCATGCTACCTTATAATTGTGCTTTTCTTGCCATTTTTTAAATCAAAGTAACCGCGGCAAAACCAACAATTATCTCCCCCCGCACCTGCTCTTGCGCCAACACTCCTAGCATATCATTCGCCCCTTCTTAAGACTATGTCACAGTGGTAGTGCATAAGAAAACAACACAGAACATGGGAGTTGATCTGTAACTGACGTAAACCAATCTCCATGTCGCCAGATAAAACTAACCTCTACCTTCAGACCAGCAAGGAAGACCGTACTATGCTACTATCTAAAGGCACACTGACCCAGACTTGCTTAGATCTCGTAAGCCTTTTCTAAAAATGCCCCCCACATGGGATAAAACTTAGTTCTCAATTCGGAATCTTTTCCCCTTAATTGCTTAGTAATGCCTCAACAAACCCCAACAATTTGACCTGCGTCTTTACGGCATGCACGAGAAACGAAAGCAGCGAACCCGCCGGCAGCATAGAACACCTGTTAACAGACGCGTGTAAACATCAGACTTCTTACAGTTTTTGTGACTCCTCAAC